ACCGATGGTTGAGCCAGGAAATCGAGAGGCTCCAGTGGAAGCTTCGGAAGGACCAATGGCCTGAGTGAATTTTGGAAGCTCTGGTAGAAGTCATCAAGGCGGAACAATGGAAGGACCATGGATAACCAACTTTGGCCATTTTTTTTTCTACCCTAGTGGAGCACAACCGTTGGAAAACAAATGGTCAGGAGGAACGTAAAAGTAGAAGGAAGACTGAGCTTAATCCACACAGAAGGTCACATCATGCTCACAAGCGTGATGGCCACATGTTAGCGTTGCGTGAACTTTGAATTGCAGCATTATAACCAGAGTCTCGGGTTTCTCTGGAAGATTAAAACGTGCGGCTTTGCAGGGGAGGTGTTCTTTTCAGAAAAGCCATTGGAGATTCCTGTTGTGGTGTGGATGGATGTCAGCTTTCTTCTTGTGTGTTATTTAATTTAATCAAACTAATCGTGGAGAGAACCCATCTGGAACTAAGGAGAGATTTCCTTGACAGTTGGAACAATTACCCAGTGGAACAAGTCACCTCCAGAGTGCTCCAGGTTTTTAAGAAAAAAAATTGACATTTGAAATCAGAGAACAAGAAGATAAACAATTTTATGAAGTTTGGGATCTTTTTTATCAATGGTTAGATAATAAAACATAATAATAGAACATTCAGACTTAGCATAAAAAAAAAATTTTTTTTTTTTTTTGATATTATCTTTATAAAACATTATCAAGATAGATTTGGTATGATCTTATGATTTATTGCAAAATAAATTAAGTAAACTATAGTTATCTCGTTAAAGTATGAATTAATAAAATTATAGATAAATGATTTTTTAGTGATGATATTAGGTTATACACTTATTGATTGATAATATGAGCTATTATGTAATATATTAGTGACTAGGAAATGGATGCACAAAAAAAAGTGGTAAACCAACCGATGCACTGTTTGTAAATTTATGAAGAAGGATGATATTTTTATGTTTTATGTGGTATGTCTATGTTGTTTTGTTGTTAAAATAAAAAACTTTTTTTTTAAAAAAAAGAAAAAAAATTGGATGGCCATTTGTCTAGAATGGTACAGGGTCTCCTGCTTGAGCAGGGGCGGGGGTTGGACTAGAAGACCTCCAAGGTCCCTTCCAATTTTGCTCTTCTGTTATGCAGTGTAACAACTGATTCAGTCTATGTATTACTTTCAAGTGATGAAGCAATAACTAAACTCATTAAGAAGTGGTTAGATAATTAGAAGGGTACTCCTTAAGGAGGCCCTATCTCGAAGATAGTATGGCTAGCAAGCTGACCGTGTAGACAAAGATAAATAATAATGTCACGTAGATGCATTTATCAAAAACATGTCAGCATTGTTCTGTAGTTTCCACCACGTTTGCCATTGTCTTGGTGTTGCTTTGCAAGGTCAGAGATAACGCAATCTGGGTTCTGCTTTGGTTCAAGGCTGTTCAGCAAAGGGACAGGTCTTGGCTGGGGGCTGGGGGCACGCTAGCAAAATGATATTGTATCTTCAAAGGGGACCCCATCACCGTTCAGCTTGAAAAGAAAATGTGTACTCCAAATAAACAAGGGATGAATCACCAAATGATTCGATCACAGTTGTCTGGATTCGCGGGAGACAATAAGCCAGAGACCGCAGCAACCAGGTTCACCCAATTTGCTTAGCTCAAACTGAACCAACTATTTTGCGGTTTAGGAGAGGGAGGGAGGGAGAGGAGAGGGGGGAAGGAAGGAAGGAAGGAAGGAAGGAAGGAAGGAAGGAAGGAGGGAGGGAGGGAAGGAGAGGGAAGGGAAGGAAGGAGGGAGAGAGAGAAGAAGGAAGTAGAAGGTAGGAGGAGAGGGAAGGGAGACAGGAAGGAAGGGAGGGAGGCAGGAGGGAAGGAAGGAAGGATGGAGAGGAGGAAGGAGAGGGAGGGAAGGAGGGAGGGAAAGGAGGAGGAGGAAGGAGACAGGAAGAAAGGGAGGGAGGTGGGAGGGAAGGAAGGAAGGAGGGAGGGGAGGGAGGAGAGGGAGGGAAGGAAGGAAGCCAGGTTAGTCTACCAAAATCCACTTAAAACATCTTGCCAATGGCTCTCCTGGGCATCCAGCAGAAATTTTGGCAGACTTCATTGCCGAGTACTACAAATATCAAACGCTTTTTGCTCATTCATGAATTAATTAGGCACCTCTAGACCCCATTTTGGAAGACTTGTGTCTTTGACTTGCCGAAGGATGGGGCTCCTTTAAAACTTTCGCATGCTCATAGCTGCAGAACAGTCGTTACAAACTTGATGATTTGCCATCCCTTGATGGATCCAGCATGGTATAAAAAGTGCAGCCAGGAGTCATAAAATTGTTGGAAAGGGACGCACTACGCCGGTTGCTTCCTCCATCTTTTTTCCCTTGCCAGGTTAACAAAGAGTATTTTGGCGGCTGTCTGAAACCGCAGCCTTGGGGAGCGGAGGGAGATCAGGTCTCTTGATGCCAACGAGGGAGAGGTCTACATTGCGAGCTGCTTTCCAGCCCCTGCAAGCTGCCAGGGGGAGCCATGGCATTCAAATATTTTGGGGCTGCATGAAGCTATCGATCATGGCGGAATGTCAGCGTGGGGCTAGGTCACTTTGAAAGGAAAGATCAGCATTTCCTATTTTTCTTTATTTTTTTAGTTCACGGGAGAATTTATCAGCATTTTGGGGTGAATGTTTTGCTTCGTGTGTTCTTGTTTTCTAACCTTACGCTGTCGGGGATTTAAAGCGCTGTTAATCCAACATTCAAATCCAGGGGAATTACCCACGAGAGAATATTTGTAGTTCGAGGCTGAATGGTGGGATGCTTGGTGCTCTCTGAACTTGGTTTTCTTGCAGATGTTTCATTACCCAGCTAGGTAACATCATCAGTGCTAGAAGGAAGTGGGGTTGGAGGAAGAAGAGGAGGAGGAGGAAGGAAGACTGTGTGGTTCTTGATGCTGAGATTGGTTGTTTTCTTGAAGATGTTTCATTACCCAAACTAGGTAACATCATCAGTGCTAGAAGGGAGTGGAGTTTGTGGAGAGGAGGAGGAGGAGGAGGAGGAGGAGGAGGAGGAGGAGGAAGGAGGAACGAAGACAAGGATGACAACTGTGGGGTCTTTGGAGCTCTCTGAACTTATTTTCTTGCAGACATTTAATGACCCAACTAGGTAACATCTTTAGTGAGAGGAGGGGGAAGAGGAAAAGGAACACTGAGTCCTTGGTACTTTGTTTTCTGCAGATATTTAAAGACCCAACTAGACAATCTCATCAGTGGTGGAAGGGAATGGGGTTTGCAGGGTGGAATGTAACTGTGGGGTCCTTGGTGCTCTCTGAGCTTGGTTGCTTTCTTGCAGATATTTCATGACCCAACTAGGTAGCATCATCAGTGCTAGAAGGGAGTGGGGTTCGCTCTCATTTTATTAGTGGCTTGTTCTGCCCAGTGTTGGTGGGAGGATGTTATGCTATCCTGTCCCACGAACAGCGTAGTATTGTATGTATTAAGACTGAGTGGGAAGGAAGGGGGCATTCCATGGGATCAACAGCCCTTCCCAAGAAGAAATGTTCAGTCTACAATGGAGAAGAAAAGTCCTATTTGATCCAGAGAGTTCCACATGGCCTCAGATATCTTTTAATGTGCTGCGTGTAAGAACGAGAGAGATGACTTATTCACATGACTGTGGCTGTCATCTTGATATTTTGACTCACCCATGGACAGGGTGATTTCATGGACGTGCCGATAAAATGTTCTTTGAAAACAGTACGGAAGAGATCGTCTTTTCATTCTTTCCAGATTCCACCCCCCCTCCCCTTCAAGTCCCTAATCTAGTCCAGAGCTATCGCCTTTCCCCCAATATTTCCCATTCATGTCCCATCCAGTTTAGCTTTGGTAAGATCAGTGGATCACCAGATGTTGTATCTGCAAAATTATCTTGGCAACACAAAGGAGATGCTAGTTTAGAAGTTTACCCCGATGGAACATCTAGTTTTTCACAATGCAGAAATGTAATTAACCAACTTTCTGTGGGAAATTAAGGTGATTTCCCTGTAGCGCTGCCTGGTCTTGAGGCTTTAGAGCAGGGGTTGGCAACCTTAAACACTCAAAGAGCCACACAGGTCTTCCTAACCGGAAGTCCTCCATTCAATTCTGGAGCCGACCAGACTCTATGGCGGTTCCCCCACCATAGAGTCTCCTCCTAGCACAGCATCTTTTTATCTCTGCAGATGGAAGTCCGGTTCCCCCATCATAGAGTCTCCTCCTAGTACAGTGTCCTTTTTTCCTCTGCGGACTGGAAGTCCGGTTCCCCCACCATAGAGTCTCCTAGCGCAGCGTCCTTTTTCCTCTGTCGTCTGGAAGTCCAGTTCCCCCACCATAGTCTCCTCCTAGCACGGCATCCTTTTTCCTCCACCTGTCCTAACCAAAAGCTCTATCAACTGTGGAGCCGACCGGCAACAGGGAGCTGTAGCAGAGGAACATGAAAGAGCCACATGCAGCTCCAGAGCCACAGGTGGCCGACCCCTGCTTTAGAGGAAACAAGATTTGTTAATTGAGCTGGCTCACTTTGCCAGAAGAGACACACACACACACAATATCTACCTCCTTCTCCTTCCTTCACAGAGTAACGGGTGCTTTGAAAAGCAACCAAGAAAAACATTCCATTTTATTAATAAGAGAATTTCCTTTTCACAAGTTTTCCACGAGCGCCATCTTCGCAGTTCATTTTTCACTCATTGCCCATTTTAAAAACAGCATTAAAAATATTTAAGAGACTGCCGCTTGCGACCATGCATTTTAAAAAAAAAGCTTACAAAGCAAATAATTTTTTAAAAAGTTTGCGAACACGCGCGCACGAGAGAGAGAGAGAACAAGAGAGCGTGAGTGGGGGGGGGGGCAAGAATTGTGTTTAAGTGCTCCAAAAGGTTGGTTTTTCTCCTGGGGAAGAAAACGCCAGCTGCCCTCCGGCGTTTCAGCGGCCCACTGTCCAAGTCTCTGGCCTGGGTGCAAATCAAAGCTTTATCGACTGGAATTGACCCAGTGGTACCTGTCCACGCGCGGGCAACCGAAGGGCAGGGAGGGGCGGCAGATTTTGTACCCCTTGTAGTGGACATAGTAAGCAGCAGCAGGATTTGGATGGACGCCATCAGGAACAAAGCATCTTCGGTGAGAATACTGGGCCCAGAGGGGTAACGGCTCATTGCACTGAAAGCAGATGGAGACGATGAGGGTGAAGGTTGAGGAGGGTCTTGAGGAAGGTTGCCAGCGTCTTGCAACTCCTCCGCTCAGCTCCTTCCTCTCCCCTTGTTCTGACTGAGCGGCTCTTGATGGGGCTCTGTTTCTGAGAAGCCCCGTCAGTTTTCCCCTCTTCCCTCCCCGCTTTCTCTTTCTCTTGTGCTGAAGCACTCATGACCCTCCCAATCATCCATCCCGTGACTCCATGGGCGCATCGCTCTGGACTTCCAGCCCAGGTGGGACTGGGCCTGCCTGGCACTTCTATATGTTAAGGGGTTCTTTCTTTCTCAATCTCTTGGAACGGAGCTCCCTTGGAGAGAAATGTTGCTTCTTTCTGGGAGGGAGGGAGGGAGGGAGGGAGGGAATAGGAGAGAATAGAGAGAGAAGGAAGGAAGGAAGGAAGGAAGGAAGGAAGGAAGG